CAGGCTAGGAAAGGCGGTGAAGCAAACGAGGTAAGTCGACGCCAGCAGAAGAAGGTTGTAAGTCGACTTAAGGTGATTATGTCGAAAGAGTCGATTGGTGGCCAAGGAAACCGACACGAAGTGTGAGAACATTTGAGCGGGAAGAAAATTTGAAAAGCTAAGAACGTTGGGAAGTTAAAAAAGTGGTGGAGGGACACGTGGTGCCACCAAGACCAACATAGCAGTTATTTTCTTTTCCTATTTAAGGCAATACCCGTTTTTATATTAAGGCGCATTTTGTAACATTACAAGGGAAAAACACTCTAAGTACCAAGCGTTAAGAGAAAAGAGTTCATTCCTGCAAAATGTATGATCGCGTCCACATTTTCTTTTAAAAGCAATTTACATTAAAAAACTTTAAGATATTTTGATTTTTTATTTTCCCTTTATTTGGTATACACATTTTTATTCGAGTTCGTTTCCAATTTATTCTAAACAAAATCATTCTACCACCGTCGCATAGACTCGACCAGATAGTTCTGGGACTTGTTTGGCTGGTCCTACAAGTAAACGTACGTTATATGGTCAGAGGTTGTTCGTAGAAAAATTTCTTGCAAACAACAACACAACCTGATAGCTTTCGTGACATTGTTTTCCAGTTTAATTACTTTTTCGCACTGAAACTTGCAAAACTCCCTTTTTACTATTTTACTTTAAATTGCACAAATCATTGTCTTGTTCAAACACAGTTCTTGTGGGTTCTTTTTATTACCGCGACATTATCGGTACACTTGCTAAGAAGTATGGTAGGTTCTTTAATGTATGTTATGGTTTGTACGAGGCCAGACATATCGTATGGAGTGAGCTTTGTAAGCAGATATATGACCAATCTTGGAAAGGCGCATAGGCAAGTATTAAAGTGGATTCTCAGGTAAATAAATGGGTCTCTGAGTCGAATCCCGATTTATGGTGGAGCATGTGGTGATGATAGAAAAGTCGAAATTGAAAGATATGTCGACTCTGATTATGCAGGTTGTATAGATTCCATAAAATCTATTACTGGATATGTGATCAGTATGTTCAGCACGACAATTAGTTGGAAAGAGACACTTCAAAAAGTTTTTGCCTTATCAACCACTGAAGCAAAATATATTTCCCTCACCGAAGTTGTGAAAGAAGCATTGTGGCTTGAAGGTTTTGCAAAGGAGCTGAAACTTCAAGGTCGAGTTATCACTGTTAAATGTGATAGTCAAAGTGCAATATACCTGTCAAAGAAGTTAGCCTATCATGAGTGAACCAAACACATTGATGTAAGGCTGTACTTCGTCAGAGAGATAATCGAGCGTGGAGAAGTCCAAGTGTTGAAGGTTTCGACGGATGACAATACTGTCGATATGATCACCAAGACATTGTCGAGCTGCAAATTTTTCCACTGTATGCAGTTGATAAAGCTGCATGATGAAAGCTAGAATATTCCTTGTTATTGTATAGTTTGTTATAAGGTGGAGATTTGTGAGATCATTGAATCGAACTCTAGTATTGTCGACTAGGACGTTGTCGACAAGGATAACTTTCAGGTTTTGATAGGGGACAAACATGAAGTCGAAGATGGTTTACATGTTGATGTCTAAATGTTACATATTATAATCGAAGTCAGTTATAATATGTATTGTCGAAATTGTAATGTCGAATTGGGCCTTGTGTTAAGAATCTAATTGTTTAGTTAGTTTAAAATGTAAGTTAGCCAGTTAGTCTATTAATAGCTAGGTCTCTCAGGTTGTTGAGATATGCCAATTGTTGTTATTCACTTGTAATTATTTTACCCTAATTGAGTAAGTGAATAGAAAAACAGTTTGTCCAATCCTATTCTCCTTCTTTCTTCTCTCTCTCTTTGTTAACATAACTGTTTCATTGTTCATCAAGAAACTCTGTTTCTTAATCAAGATTTTGTTAATTGGTATTGTTTGTCACAATAATATATATATATATATATATATATATATATATATATATATATATATATATATATATATATATATATATATATATATATATATATATATATATATATATATATATATATATATATATATATATATATATATATATATATATATATATATATATATATATATATATATATATATATATATATATATATATATATATATATATATATATATATATATATATATATATATATATATATATATATATATATATATATATATCTTTGTGTATTTTTTCTCCTTCCCCAAACTCCTTTATTTTACTAGCATCCATTAATATTGTTATTGCATAAATTGCTTAATTACATTGATTGTATTTCACATAAGATAAACTTTGCTTATAGTAATTTCATGTATAAGTTTAAGTATGTGGTGTATCAATCTTATAGAAGTATCACAAATCGAATTATGTCTTGATAAAACATCTATGTGAAAAGTTTTTAAATTGCTTTGTTCAAAGCAACTTTAGTTGTCTTGTGATTGACTTGCATTAGGAACAATCAATCTCTTAGCAACATCTTGTATTATCTCACTTGGTTTAATTTATTGAGATGTTTGCAAACTCTCTTATTTTTGTGTTTTACTTCCGCACTTCTTAAAATCTTTAATTTCGTTTATAAAATTTAAAATGTTTTTAAAATTGTCTTAATGAAAAATAGTTTATTCAATCCTCTTTCTTAACCTATTTGTTCCGAACAATCCTTTTTTTCTAACATAATTGATCTCTTTTTACCTCACATTAACATCACTATTTACACACATCACACAAAACTATTTTTTTTTTAATTTAATCACTGTATTTTTATAATTATATTTTGCATTGAGTAAAATTTAGTGAATGATATGAGTTAACTTTCATTTGATAAAGAATATAAATTCTTTTACTTTAAAAATCACATAAGATTATATTTATGTTTTATTTATGTATATTTTTTTTATGATGTCAATCAATTGCAAACCATTAATTTATCAAAAATAAATAAATAAAGAATATAAAGTCTTTTACTTTAAAAATCACATAAGATTATTTTTATGTTTTATTTATGTATATTTTTTTATGATGTCAATCAATTGCAAACCATTAATTTATAAAAAAAAATTAAATAAGTTGCAAGCCATTAATTTATCAAAAAACTAAATAAATTGCAAAAATTAAATAATGACATTCAAAATAAGTATAGTTAAAATCAAATATATTATTTAATAATGAATTAATATAACTAATTATAATTGATTTATTATGTAAAATATATTTAGATCTTAAAAAATATGTAACCAAATCTATTTATTATAAATATATTCCTATTACCTTATATAAATATATTCTTATTTTATTCACTATTTTTTTTGTCATTATTTAACTAAAATAATAATTAAAAGTCAATTTAAGAATATTTATACATAAAATAGACAAGTTAATTGATGTGGTAATGGTGAGTTGCGAAACCGTCACGTATATCATTTTAGTTGAAATAAAGTAAGAGAGAGTGAGATAGACAAGAGTAATTCAAGTAGTAAAGTTGAAAAAGGTAAAAGTAGTTGGATACCTTTTTGTGCTGTTGCGTGTGAAAATAGAGCTTCATATTTAGCCTCACATTTTTCAAGCGCGTAACTACCACTCTCTCACAATCTGTCTTCTCTTTCTTTCCTCGTATCATCAACCTCCCCGTTACGCGCGTGTGGAAAACAAAGAGATTTTTTTCTCTATTTTTTTATTTAATTTGTTTATAAATTGAATTTTCTATCCTCGTAACTCTAAAATTAATCCTCAAACCATAGAAGATTATAATAGATAGTAAAATTCTTTCTTATGAAATTTAACAATACTATCTAGACTTAAGATTTGATTCAAATTCAAGATTTGTAATTAAGTTGAAAAAGACCTATGTATTTTTAAAAAATAAAATAAAATAATATATTGTTGATAAAACATTATGTCATTATTTAATAAAAAAACTTTATGTCATTATCACCTTTAAAGTATTAGCATATAAATATTAATACATCATCCTATACGAAAAAGTGTGCTTTTGCCTCCTCCATCATAACTAATCTACCACGTTGAGACAAATTAGCCTTTAAATTAAATAATAATAAAAATAGAGACAAAAAATTATTATCAAAAGGCAAGTGTCAAATAAAATGATAATTTTTATAATTAAATAAAAATATACTCCAAAAGCACAAAAAGACACAAAAAGTAGAGCAGGTTAAGTCTGTCCACAAAGCATTTTTTTCCAGAAATCTTTGCAAACTGATACTACTAGTACTTTTTCTCTTCTCTCGCGCCACAATAAATAAATAATCTAAATTTTGTTATTTATTTATTTTATAATTAAGTTAAATTAAATTATGATTAACTGAAAAAAGTGATTAAATAAAATTTATATTCACCGCGCTTTGTTTGTTCGTGTGAAGGATACAAAAAGCGGGATCTAAAAGAAGCTTTTGGCGTTGAATTCCGAAACAGGCTTTTTAAAGAGAGAAAGCGTGTTTATAAGCAGAAGGAGAAGGGTAGAGTAGAGAAAAAAATAGAATAGAAAAGATAGATATAGATACATAGATCGATCCTTGATCCTTCAAAGGAAAGTTAAAAAGTACTTAAAGGCTTAAGCTAGTTTGTTTTTTAGCTTTTGTAAAAAGCTTTTTTTTGATTTTGATTTCCAATTCCACCCCTTGAAAATGTTAATTTGTCTTGTATATTGACACTGTTGTTATCTTATTATCTCTCTCACAACCCAAGTTCACAAAACACTAATTTCGTTTTCTCATTTATACACTTTCTTTTTTCTCATTTATACACTTTCTTTTTCTTTCTTCCCATAAAGTAAAGTCAAGTTTAACTACTCCATAAAGAAACTCATCTTTCTCATATAACCCAACGGAACATTCATTTCAGATTTCAGATTTCATTTCAATTTCTTTGATTCAATAACAAAATATCAAAATTGAAATCGAACTAATTTTGATTACTCTGAATTATTGAGATTGAAGAATTATTCATTTCGTGAAATGAGAGCTGGGTTAAGTACAATCCAACAAACCCTAACGCCGGAGGCGGCTAGTGTTTTGAATCATTCAATCGCGGAGGCCGGCCGGCGAAATCACGGCCAGACCACGCCGCTTCATGTGGCGGCGACGCTATTAGCTTCACCTTCTGGTTACCTGCGTCAAGCGTGTATAAAATCGCATCCGAATTCGTCTCATCCTCTTCAGTGTAGAGCTTTGGAATTATGTTTCAGCGTTGCGTTGGAGCGGTTACCGACGTCTCAGAATACGGCTCCGGCGGCGGCGATGGAGCCGCCAATTTCGAATGCTTTGATGGCGGCTCTGAAACGCGCGCAGGCTCATCAACGGCGTGGTTACCCTGAACAGCAGCAACAACCGCTTCTTGCGGTTAAGGTTGAATTGGAACAGCTTATCATATCGATTCTGGATGATCCGAGTGTTAGTAGGGTGATGAGAGAAGCTAGTTTTTCTAGTCCGGCGGTTAAAGCGACAATTGAACAGTCGATTAATTCTGTTCCTCCTCCGGCGGTCAATTCGAGTCCGATGGGATTGGGATTCCGGCCGGGGATGGTTACTCCTGGGGCCGTGCCGGCGAGGAATTTGTATATGAATCCTAGGCTGCAGCAACAGGGGAGTGTTGCTCAATCGGGGACACAGAGGGGTGATGAAGGTAAATGTGTTGTTGATATATTGATGAGGGCAAAGAAGAGGAATCCGGTTTTGGTGGGTGAATCCGAGCCTGAGGTTGCTATTAGAGAGATTTTGAGGAAGATTGAAAATAAGGAATTGGGGGAGGGTGCTTTTAGTAATGCCCATGTGATTCATTTAGAGAAAGAGCTTCCTTCGGATAGAGCGCAGATACCTGGGAGGATTAAAGAGTTGGGGGATTTGATTGAATCGCGGTTGGAGAATTCGGGTTCCGGTGGCGTGTTTATCAATTTAGGTGATTTGAAATGGTTGGTAGAACAGCCTGTGGGATTTGGTTTGGGGAATATGCAGCAGCCAGCTCTTGCAGAGGCTGGCCGCGCTGCGGTGGCGGAGATGGGACAATTGGTTGCGAAATTCGGGGAGGGTGGTGCTGGTAGGCTTTGGTTGTTGGGTACTGCTACTTGTGAGACTTACTTGAGATGTCAGGTTTACCATCCTTCCATGGAAAATGATTGGGATCTTCAAGCTGTCCCAATTACCTCAAGATCACCACTACCTGGAATGTTTCCAAGGTATTTACTATTTACATATGTATATTCTCCTTTATGGATTGTTCTGATTGTTCACAAAGTAATCTTGTTCTAACATTTTGTACTCCGTAGATCTTCATCTAATTGTATCATTTATGAAACAATCTTATTTCACTACTTTGGCTCGATTGAACTGTTTTGTTGCAAGATTAGTTAACGGAATTTTCGTTTAATTTTCTTGTTTGATGGAATGGAGTTGAGAATTATTCTTGATTCTTTGATAGAATCAGTTATGGTTCTGATATGTTAATTCTATTCTAATTTGCTTTTACTCTCTCCTGTTTTGTTTTGAAAGGAAAACGTGGGATGTTCTTGTTTCCTTAGACAAGAGATTGTTAGGTTGTTGTTACCTTTGTGGTATTGGCACTATTAGCTTGACAAAGCTATGAAACATGGTTAAATTGTCTCTCCCACATTTGGTAGTTGTAGTTTTAACTTTTGGTTTCTTGTGTGACCAGACTTGGGACCAATGGAATTCTTGGTACCACTCTTGAGTCTTTGTCCTCATTAAAGACCTTCCCTGCTACAACAATCACTCCTCTGAGGCGTGCTTCAGAGAATGTAGATCCTGCAGCAGCATCAATTTGTTGCCCACAGTGTATTCAGAACTGCGAGAAAGAAGTATCAGATATGTTGAAAGAAACTGAGAAATCTGATACCGAGCTCACATCAGATGCTGCGAGACCGCCTCTCCCACTTTGGTTACAGAATGCTAGACCGAATAATGATAATGCTAAAGTAATGGAACAGGCCCAGGTAAATTCAATTAAAACTATCATGTTGGTTGGTTGTTGGGGTTTAGAAATAATAGTTGTGTTTTACTTATTGTGTTCTTTTGTCTTTTTATAGAGCAACGGTCAAGAAGGGAATGTAAAGAAGAGGACTCAAGAAATACAAAAGAAATGGAACGATTCCTGCTTGAATTTACATCCTAAATTTCATCAGCAAAATGTGAGCACAGAGAGGATCGCTCCCGTCCCTTTTTCAATGACGAACCTATATAATATGAATTTGATGGGGCGCCAATTTCAACCAAAAGTACTTCCAAATAAAAATTTGGGATGCTCTCTTCAATTGAGCACGGCGAGCCCAAGGCGAAGTACAGTAACCACTGAGCTGGTTCTTGGGCAAACCAAGCCATGTGATACAATTCCTGAAGAGACTCAGAAAGAGCGCATTAATGAGTTTTTGAGTTCACTGTCTTCTGAGTCACAAGACAAGTTTGATGAATTACAGAGCAAAAAATTACTTGATGTTGATTCTTTCAAGAGGCTACTCAAAAGTCTGACAGAAAAAGTGTGGTGGCAGCAGGATGCAGCATCTGCTATAGCCACCACTGTGACTCAGTGCAAATTAGGCAACGGTAAAAGACGGTCAAAGGGTGACACATGGTTATTGTTTACAGGTCCTGACAGAATTGGCAAGAAGAAAATGGCAGCAGCACTTGCTGAACTGGTATCAGGGTCAAACCCAATAGTAATCTCTCTTGCACAACGATGTGGGGATGGAGACTCTGATGCCCATCACATCCGTGGAAAAACAGTTCTTGATCGCATAGTAGAGACCATCCGAAGGAACCCACATTCTGTCATCATGCTTGAGGACATTGATGAAGCCAACATTCTTCTTCGTGGAAACATCAAACGAGCCATGGAGCAAGGACGGTTCCCTGATTCTCATGGCCGTGAAATCAGTCTCGGTAATGTCATGTTTATCCTCACTTCAAATTGGTTGCCTGAGGACCTTGGCTACCTGTCCAATGGCACTCCATTAGACGAAGAAAAGCTTGCAAATTTAGCAAGTGGAAGTTGGCAACTGCGGCTATCAGTGACCAAGAAGGTATCAAAACGCAAACCCAGTTGGTTATCCAATGAAGACAGGTCTTTGAAGCCTAGAAAGGAAGTGAACTTAGGTTTATCATTCGATCTTAACGAAACCGCGGATGTAGAAGAAGACAGGGCAGATGGATCACATAATTCCAGTGACTTCACAGTGGACCATGAAGACAACAATCACAATAGAGGGTCGCCCTCAAAACCCCGCGAGTTTCTGGACTCTGTCGACGATGCCATTGTCTTCAAGCCGTTGAATTTTGATCTCATCCGTCGTAATTTCTCTGGAACAATTGCGAAAAGATTCTCTGCTGTGGTTGGAAATAGGATCTCAATTGAAGTACAAGAGGATGCTCTTGACAAGATCACAAGCGGAGTGTGGTTAGGCCAAACCACAATCGACGAATGGATGGAAAAAGTGTTGGTTCCTTCCTTCCTCCAGTTGAACAAGAACTTCAATTCAACCTACCATGATGATCACGAGTCTTCGCTGCTGGTTCGGCTCGAAGATGATGGCTACTCCGATCACCGGAGCTCACAAGAGCTGCTACCTGCTAGTGTGAGAGTCGTATCAGAATAGTAGTATTGAATATTAATTATTGATTATTGTTAATACACAACGCACATGAGTGGTAATATCCGTTTTTGTTGGTTATAGAAATGTAAATAGATCTCTTTGGAAGTACAAAGTCAAAAAGACCCTTGGTAGAATTGAGAAAAACCGTTAGAGGTGGAACAAGGGTCGGGTATGTGTCATTTTTTTTACCCTTTAGAAAAAAGATTATTTATTTTTGTCTTATAAGCTTTATATTGCCTTTTTCCCATTGTAAGCATAGATATATTTATCAATTAAATGGAGGATAATTATCAATAGTAATAAAATGGAGTATTGTTCCTTCCTCTTCTTACTTTCATCATTTTCTTCACTCCTTCCTTGATCAATATTCTATTATGTTTCTCATGATATCTTATATATTTACACAACTATCAACTGAATATTATATCTTTACACAACTATCAACTGAACTGATTTAACAAGATAAAACAGAACAAATGAGAACAAATTTAAAAATTGTCAAAAACACCCGAGTGTTTAGGCCACTAATCCTTAGTAGTGACCAGCCATGTAATTGTACATGTTTGTTAGGTTCATGAATGATGCTGCCATTTGCAATTGGTAACCGAGTCCTTAGTCCTCACCAACCAAACACACAACCCTACCGACATAAATCATTGTTTTTTTCAGTTAACGTATTTCCTTATCATCAATTAGTAAAAACAAACTTCCTAGAATTTATGTTCCTAGCAACACCGTTTCATCCATACGTCACTATCATTCTTCCGTCCTTAGCTCTAAAGAAAATTAAGGTCAATGAAACCAAAGATACCAAAACAAGAAAGAGTTGAATACAAGGGATTGAGTGTATGTGTGTGTGAGATACTAGTTTCATAGTAAACGCGTTAAAGAAATTATAACAGCCGTAGCATATTTTCAACGCTACGTAAGGAAATTAATGCAAGTGAGCAGAACAAGACATGATATGCTTTGTGCATACTTCACATTCATATTTGCCTGTTTTATTGACTCTACCGTCTTGTTCAAGACATCAACACCGCATGTGTTCACATTTATTTTCACCCTCATTTTGTTATGTCTTTTTCTTACACTTCTAGATCTATTTGGATCTCTCTCTCTCTCTCCCTTTTTTTTTCAACTCATAGAGAGAAATCCAGCTATATTCATATCAGCCACGTATATGCTAATCATATTATCTTAATTTGCTTAACCATATTAATCTAACAATTTAATGGATCATTAAATAATTATTGTATGCTACTTTTGGGACCATAGTAAGTGCCAAATTAAAATTCTCATCAGAAAATTTAACACTGCTGCATGTCTAAAACTGAGTTCAAATCCAAAACATATAGTTAAAATAAAAGAGATGTTTTACCGTCTCATCTAAATACTCTCGGAAAGTATTTAACTTTTTAGACATTCTGACTTTATAACATTATGGATATATTGTTTGTGTAATAATTATTAAAAGTGTGGTACAATGCATTTGGTTGAAGAATGCAGGATGTCTATACGGTTCGACAGAGAAATTTGATGCACGGACAAGATGGATTTATCTTTAATTGCATAGGACAATTTGATGGTAAAAGTAGGTGAAATGAGTTAATACAAGTTGATCCAAAGTGGACCAAGATTAGCGTTCGTAGTTGACAAATTGCAGAAGACAAGAATAAAGTTTCAAATGGTGTTAACTTTGGAGGGCTAAAGAGAAGGTTAGACGCAGAATAAAAATAGGGGTGACAAACTGCGACGAGTACTCTGGAGATAGAGGACACACACTCGATGAAGCACAGGTGAATCATCGTACTTGTACCAGCTAACTAACATAAACATATAAAGAAGAGGCAATGATTCTAGGCCAGATTGGAGAAATCAGAGACGCAACATGATGGAATTAATCCAATAATTAATCATAAAACTACTATTTATACATTACATATATATATATATATATATATATATATATATATATATATATATATATATATATATATATATATATATATATATATATATATATATATATATATATATATATATATATATATATTAATAACCATTCAATTAAATTAATAAGAGAGATGAAATATAAGTTAATAAGAAAGAGAAATTAATGGTCACGTTAATGAATATGTTTAATTATGATCTAATAATTTGGTTCAAAGTCATTTATTAACCATGAATTCTCATTTATCAATCATATTTTATGTTTGCAATAGAATATAAAATTGAGCATTTATATAATTACAACATCTATAATATATTAGTCTAAAGAGATGGGATTGTAAAAATATCTGTATCTATGGTAATAAGTCTTTCGGTATTAATTTAAAAACACATACATTATTGATTCCTGGATCTTTCTCAACAAATATTTTTAATATATTCAATTATCTTTTGATAAGAATACATAATCTATATATAGATAGGATGATGTCAATAGATTATAATCATTTTGAAATGAGTCACTTTAACAATCACTTGTATTTTAACTCATACTCAACAATTTAATTAATTAATCAATTTACAAATAGAAATCTAATTATTTCTTTTGAGTTTATTTGACTATTTAATCGACTAGCACTCTTAATTTGATAAATAAATAATATAATTAAAATAAATATATATATATATATATATATATATATTCACATAATAATTTTTAAAATATAATAATTAAATAATATTTGAATATAAAAGATTCCAACAATCTTTAATGAATCTTTTAATTATCATGAGACTTAGACTAGAAGTATATTTTATGTTTCATTTACTAACTCTTTAAAATGAGCTCGGACAGACAACGACTTATTGCAACAATAATCAATAATATTTAAATATAAAATATTTTTCAATTTTAAAATTTTTTTTATGCTTCCATTCTCAGCAATCACACCTTTGATTATTTTAGGTATGAATCTTTTGATCACCATAAAACACGTCTAATTGAATTGGTTCTAATTTTTTGTTTATGTTTTATTTGGGTCTTCAACTCTTTTCTTGTAGGATAAGTCCAAGTCCATGCATCTAATAATGATCATCATATATTCTTTTTAGAACTTGAAGTTCATCTCAATCAACATAGAGATAAATTTAATGTGAGTAACAAAATTTGGAGCGATAGTGACAACAATTTGAAAGTAGATGAAAAAGCAATAAGAAACATAGAATAACTTTAGTAGACATGTCAAATAACTATATTAGCGTGCACAATATTTCAAATTAAGTAAAACCTAGACAAGATACCAAAAACACATCATATCTCAATCTTTGATTCTAAAAATTTACTATAAGTGGTACTTTCAATGATCAAACATCAGTAATTAGTCCTATCAAATGATGAATGCATTTGACATTAATCATTACCTACATGAAAAAACTTAATACTACATAGTAATTGACCACCCAAACTATGTATTTCTTTTGCGCGACCATAACAATTCTGTGAGATATTAGATCGAACTCTAATTAGCATGTAGTCGAATTGTGTTCTAGTATGTAGTTGTCGAATTGGGCTTTGTGTTAAGGATCCAATTGTTTAAGTTAGCTTGTAATGGTTAATTGTTAAAAAGCCAATTAGTTTAGTATATTAGGTTTTATTATAAATAGCATACTAGTCTCTCATCTTAAGTGTGGTGTGATAAAACCTAATTAGGGTGAGTGGGTTATTTGTTATTCTTGAGTACTTGTAATCTGTTTTATAGAGAAAGTAAAGAATGACAGTTATAACCAATATCCTTGTTGTTCTCCTTGTTTTTCCTTAACCCTAACCTTATGTGTTTCTTGATCATAAAAAAATCGAGTATATTTTGTTTTAAGGCATCCTAATTCACAATAAATTGGTGCAGTGAGCATGGAGAAGATGCTTTCAACAAAAGTATGAGATTGAAAAGTTCATCTGAGTGAACGACTTTGGTCTGTGGCGCTTGAAGATGAAAGTCCTACTGGTTTAACAGAGTTGTTTAGAAGCGTTGAAGGGAAAGACAACCATGGACGTTGCGTTAAAGGAAAAAGAAAAGACGACCATGATAGAGAAATCCCACAACTTAGCATTGTTGAGCCTTGGTGATAAGGTTCTTTGACAAGTATCAAAGGAGACTACAACATCAGGGTTATGGTTAAAACTTAAAAGTTTGTACATGACCAGATCTCTGGTGAATCGACTCTACCTGAAGCAAGCTTTGTATTCATTCAAGATGAATGAAGATAAAGTGTTGGTTGAACAGTTGGATATGTTCAATATGATGATTCTTGATTTTGAAAATATTGATGTGAAGATCGACGATGAAGATCAAGCACTGTTACTGTTGTGTGCTTTGCTCAGAACACATGCTCACTTCAAAGAACTCTCCTGTATGAAAGGGAGTCCGTGTGCTTTGAAGAAGTTCAATCAGCCTTGTATTCTAAGGACTTGAGCAAATAAAAGGAGTATAAACCTTCGACGATTGGTGAAGGTTTGACCGTTAAGGGAAAATTCTTACGAAAGGATGGTAAGTTCGACAAGAAGAAAGGTAAAAGTCAGCAGAAGTCTTATAGCGGCGAGGCATCTGGTATTCGATGCTATCAGTGTAAGAAGGAGGGTGTTGCAGTGAGAATTGGATATGAAGTTATTGAATTGACTTGAATCACAAATCATGAAGTTCACCACCGAGCTCTGATTTATCTAAAGGAAAGGGTAAAGATCGAAGAAAACCCTAAGCGCTCTATGTAACAACACAACTAAAAGATCTAAGGTTCAAGGGTTGGTTATACCTAGGGAAGGTGTTAGCATCCTAAACATCTGTAGTACTCTACAAAAACCTCTTGTTAGTATTTGTGTTATGCTAAAGCTTGCTTGCTAAGGGAAAAATGCTAAGGTAAAGACCTAGGGTATATACAAAGTATGTACAAAGTATGCTCGCCAAGACATCGCATCTCGTGCCTACGTATCCAGACGGGAATGGAATCAGAGCAACCGTAATTCCCCTTAATAAGGGTGAGGAACTTTTGACTGTGGTCAA